ATATGTTAACGCTTGTATGGTTATGAGTGAATGTGATGACTAACGTTTAAACAGAGGTACGCATTTGTATGAGCGCTGTAATGATTAACTATGTACAGTGTTTAGATTGCAATGATAAACAATATAAAGGAACTTCTCATTAATTTGCATTCTAAGCAAATTGTATTGCATGTATATGTTCAGTTGTTATCTGTAGACATATATATTGTCAATGGCATATCTAAGTGTATTTGAAACGTTATAGTCTGAGAATGAAATAACCAAATTCATTACTATTTCTTTTCAACATCTCTTTTCATGTAAATAAAAGAATATTTTATTACAAAGTCTGGTCTACAAAATTCTCTTACTAGGCAAATACAATTTGATTGGTTTATTTTCGTATATTATTGAATGCCCACCAGAGAGTTAGATGCTATGGGGAGTAGAAATTATTAAAATCACATTCATCATCGTCATCATCATCCCCAACATCATCATAATTATAGGTAAGTTCAGAGGGCAGAATTTAAAAAAAATAATAATAATAAATATAAGACTGGGCCAACTATTACACAAGGTCATGTTGGGGTCAAACAAGGACGCATGAAAATAAAGGCATAACAGAATTTTCACGTTACGTGTCTTTTAAAAACACAAATGCCATATTTCTCCTAGTGGAATAAAATAAAATAAGGTTATTTAGAAAGTAAATTGAAATTTTTACATATATGTATATTGGTGAATGAATAAAATGAAACAAAGTAGATGAATAAATGGGAGAAAGAGAAATTGTAAAAAGTAACATACTCTCATATATACATACAATACGTAATCAAGTTCTGACATACACAATGCACAGAACACTAATTTCAGCCAAAGGCTTTTTTCATCTAATAAACAAAACATCCCAAAATAAACTGAAATAAACAGAAAATATTAAATGAGAAATGAAAACAGAAAATACATTGTCGGTAAGCATTTACCCCCCACAAAAAAATTAGCAAGAATTTATGTCGTAAACTAGAAGTTAAATTCAACAGTGTTTTTTTAAATAAAAACAACTAATAGAACGATAAACCACCACATTTATGATTGTTCAGTTAATCAAAACTGTGAGAGGAAAAAAAACAGAATAGAACTTAGTAGATTCTGTCAGCCAACACCAAGGTCAGAATTTTCAGTACAACTGTCAAGATAGTTCTAATGTATGGGGTGGAAACTTGGAGAACTACGAAAGCCATCATCCAGAACATATAAGTGTTTATTAACAGTTGTCTATGCATAATACTTCGGATCCGTCAGCCAGACGTTATCAGCAACAACCTACTATGAGAGACAACAAACCAGATCCCAACGGAGGAAGAAATCAGGAAGTGGATAGGATACACATTGAGGAAAGCACTCAACTGCGCCATAATGCAAGCTCTCACATGGAATCCTCAAGGCCAAAGGAAAAGAGGATGACCAAAGAACACATTACGTCAAGAAATGGGGACAGATATGAGGAAAATGAACAAAATTTGAATAGAACTTGAAAGGAAGGCCCAGGACAGAGTGGGTTGGAGAATGCTGGTCGACGGCCTATGCTCCATTGAGAGTAACAGGCGTAAGTAAGATTCTGATGAATAGATTAAATTCTAGGTGGTTGAAGGTAAGCGATGGGATACCCTCTACTCAGGTTTTGCATTACATATTACTTGTCACTAAGGTGTACCTACAATCTTGAAGGAGGTGATGCTCATTAGGATTGGAGGTCTGGGTAGTTCAGTGGTAAAATCTCAAACAGTGAAGCAGGGTGATGCGAATTCGAGTCCTATTGTGACTACTAGTACCCTCAATATTACAGTTAAACCTTGGAGATGAATGACAAGTAGTACGAAATCCAAATTCAAGGTTTTCTGTAGACTACCTTCAACTACCTAACATCAAAACATGGTTCACGTGATGTTGAGTCACCTAAGGTAATGGTTACTTTGCAACTTGACTGACAGAATCCAGTCAGTAGAACTAAAAGACTAGATAAGTATGACACTGTTCACACCTTAGTGACTAACCAGTTATAATAGAAAATTCGAAAAACAATCAATCAGTCCGAATAGACTTCAGTTTTGAGAGACTCGAAAAGTTTTTTCAATTACTTCAAAGCCTTTAAAAATACTGGACAGTGCTCAGAATACCATTACTTAGTATAGAAGATAACTAGTGAAAACTCTTTAATGATGATATTAGAAGGAACTGAGTAATTACTCCGTAAGAACGAGGGGTGTTAAACAATTATAGACGTCTTCATTATTACTGATAATGATTCTTAAGTGACTAATCGCAATAATTCTAAATATAAGGCATTCTTAATTTAAGTAGAAATAAATTTAGGTAATAAGTATACCATATTGTCAATCTACTAGGACGTAAGTAGTAACCAGTTCCAAAATAACATATCACTTATTATAAATATGTAACGGTTCAATTTACATTTCACTTCAGCATAACAACAAAACACTAACAAGATGATAGGTAAATAAGTAGAAATAATAATGATGGTGGAAAATTAAATATGAGAATTATGGTTCAGAAGAAATGAAGAATATTAGGAGAAATAAGTTCAAGACTAAGAGGTAAATAGGTAATGAATACATGCACACCGATTAGAATGTTAACATCTTTTAACATGATTGGGTCTAACAGTCTATGAACAGATTGCTGCCGCAGTTTTTTTTATCTACTTTCATACTAGCCAGGAAAAAAACGAAAATAAACTCTCTGAAATGTTATTTAACAATTACAAATGTCTATGTTACTGACCAATCACAATATTGTTAAGCTACTAAACAGTGTGGAGTGCGGGTGCAACAGAATTCCACTTTGTGAGTGTTGGATGACTAAACCATTATCACATTATCACTTGTCGTTTATTTAGAAAGACTTTAAACAGTAACTCAATGATCTAAAGACGATTAGGAATGTGGTACGGTTTGAACATTTTAGATTTGTTTATGAATGCCAATTTTCTCTTTCCAGAACGAAATGACTGTCCGATGCTTATAATGGTTTTCAGTGGTTATCCAACTAAATTTAGTTCATGATGCAAACTACAAAACGAAATAACACGTTTACCTTGTGCATATATCATCTATTACATTAGACGGAAAAATATTAAATCTAACTAACTCCCTAAACCACACTCTTAAAACTAACCAAATGAATTAAAGGTCAATACAGGTTTCAAGATCAGTAAATGAATATATTATAAAGATAGTGTAAAGGATAAAGTATGTTAAATGACTTAGAAAACTGCATCATCACAGCGTACTTCAAATTAGAAAACACAGTGAACGAATTAGTTATTAAATTCTAGTTGAACTCATTCATCTAAATATTTCAATTAATCTTTTTAATGAAGACATTTAGCTATGTATTTCTAAATGCATTATTGATTGTAACTATCAGTAAATTAAATTATACATTTGGAGTACATTATACATAGTGAAAATTGAGCAACTAAATGCATAAACTCCTAGTTAATTACTGAAAATGCCCATATTTATATATACCACTCAAAAATAAATGTATTATTTATTGGAAAAATGTCTTTCAATTATACAATAAGGTAACATGAGCATAATTTTTGAACAGAAAGAAAACAAAGGAAAACGACTAAGGTTTCATGCTGTTATATTCTTTTTTACGTGTATGCCAATATGTATGTCAAGAAGAAGAAGATGATGATGATGATGGTGAGATAATCTTTTCTCAACAAAACAATTAACGAGTTATAACACCTACTGATTTGTACATACAAAACAAATCACACTACTATTCACAGTTGAAATATAAAATTGACAAACTCAAACAATACACCCTAGACACTATAGGGGTAATTTAAGAAAAAAGAAACTAAGATTATGCATCCTTTTTTTCGAATAGACAAAGAAAATTTTTTTAAAGATAAAAGTGCATAAGACTATAAGAGATTTCAATAATTTTTTTGCAATTTTTACAGGAGAATAAAAACAACAACTATCTAAACAGAAGTAGATCAAGTTGAGATAGAACTTCAGTTATAAATATATACTGACTGAAAGTTGAACTTTCTTCAACGAATAAGCTATCGTTTCATACAGAATTATAATCACATAAGTAATGACTAATTCCCCAGACCACATTTAAAACGTAACTGGTTTTAGGAATCAAGTTATATTGTAATGAACACAAGAGGGAAGACGACATAGTACAGTTATTTAGTTCTTACTGAAAATGATCAATTAATATAGACCACTAAATTATGAAGTGGTTCGATAAGCCAATGAATTCAAATTATTGACTGATATTAATTAATCAAACTATAAAAATAACTATTCTTCTTTTTAGTTCCAATGTTCAGTAATTTTTGGATTAAAAAAATGTTTCTTTGGATAAATCAGAACAGTTCATTATTAAAAGAATAACATATCTTAAAATATATAAAACATTTTCGAGTCCTGTGTGCGAGATCGTGGTGGCTCCGCACGGCTGATGAGTCACATATTAAGACGAAATGACCATCCAGTGCTTCCAGGTTTTCAATAGTAGTCCAGCTTAGATCGATTTGTGATTTCAACTGTGAAAAACAATATTTGTCTAGAACTAAAAATTTCTTAAATAAACAAATAAGGACTGATCATAATTTTAAGAAAATGGTTGTTTTTAAAATATTATAGTGTTTCACTTAATAGAATATGACCTTCATGCTGTTAACGTCTCTTCCGTTCATACTATAACATGTGGTACACCCGATTTATTACAATACATCTTTATTGATAATATGTATTAAACTAAGCCATTTATAGACATACCAATTGAGAGTATAAAATTTTAAATATTAGTTACCAATGGAATCTATTTAGGACAAATCAGTTGAATAAATATACATCTTAATGTTGATTTTAAAATCGAAAGTCAATTATGAATAAATAAAAATACAATTAAATTCATTAATAATTATACATACATATTTTATGTATATAAGAGAACATTCTTACCAAAGTGATTGGTCTGCATCGCATAACTTTAATCTTTTCATCGGTATATGGAGAGAAATTTTGATAAGCTTGACTTATAGTTAGTATAGTTTCATATAAACCAAGATGATCATTCCCTGGTCTACTACATACACCATAACGACCAGTAGTCGTAGTTGTGGTTGTTGTTGTCGTTGCCGCCGACGCCGCTCCCCCTACTGCCGAATTACCTGATAATTCTGATGTACATGAAGGTGGTGGAATAAAAGCGGAAACATGTCCACTACCATTACCAATAGTTGAATCAATCCTCATTGAATTTGTAGATGAATTATGTGGTATTGACATTAGCTGGTCTGAATTATCTCTTCCACAGTCAGAACCACGTGTTCGTCTAGGCATTCGACCATATCGTACACTATCTTTTGACATACCAGCAGCAAGACATTTACGAAAACGACAATATTGACAACGATTACGATTCAAACGTATTACAAGACATTTTCCATCTCTTAAACATTTATATTCAATTTGTTTTTGAATACTTCGACGAAAGAAACCCTATATTAAAAAAAAGATTTTAAAAAACGGTTTAATAAACGTTATTACCGATTACAAATATGTTAAAAAATGTATTATCAAACATTACTGAACGTTGATATTACATTGAATATAGTAACTTTAACAGATATTTTATACTGACGATATAGGGTAGTTTTTTTTTATTTTTAACACATAAGCATTTGTACAAGGAGGCAACAAATACATATGCGCCACACGAATCTCAATTGATTTGTGTGAGGGCTGTGATACTGCTCGGGTGCCCAAACCGAAGCAGGTAGTTTTCTTAGAGGGCCACACCCCGAGCCTTTGACCTAAAGGTCTGACCCACAAGGCAGTGGAGCATCATGAGGAGATGCAGTCCCATGGAAGCCGGTAACCAAAAGTTGGTTCATACGCCATTTGTTCCTTCAGGATACTGGAGCCCATGTGCACCATTGGTTTGGGATCCGGTTATAGCGCCGGACATTCGCTTTTCGTCCTCTCATTTTCGTAAACAACACCCCCGCCACGAGAAGGCAGTGAGTAGGACTTCCCTGGCAGAGGCTATATACGCGTGGCCATGTGAGAGCATTTCGAGAGGAAGAGAGGACTCTCCCCACTCTCGACCGTACCAGGGCATTCGGGGGCTAGAAGTATCTAGTACTCAAATACAAAGCTTATATCTTTAGCTTTTATTTACCTATACGATAGAACGTAAACTTAGTACAATATGGAAGACAGAAATCCTTAAATACAAAGAGAAATGATGGAAATTTGAATAAATAAAAGATCAGATTATGAATAAATTAAATAAATATGAAGAAATATAGTTCAATTAAGATGATCAAACTAGATTTCATTCACTTCAGAAAAACATCTGCATACAACAGAAACTTATTCACGGTTAAATATTTTTAACAAAATCCAAGGTCAAAATGTATTCTCATTGTTTAAATCACTAGTCGATCTATGCTAGACCACTATTGAAAACCTGGAAACACTGGACGGCCGTTTCATCCCAGTGTAGGACTCCCCAGCATTCCATTGCTTCCATATTTTCAATGGTGATCTAAATCGACTTGTGACTTGAACTGGGAAAAATACTACAATCTGCACTGATAAAATGTATTGTATAAATTCACCGCCCGACCTAGGTTTAAAAGATTAAGGAATAGATAAATGTTCTTAATAAAAGATTCTTAGGAATTATGAAAACGTCTGTAAATAAAAAAGGTTCAGTATTATTACAAGATAATTTTCTATAGTCTTCTACCCTGTACACTATACGAAGTTAGAGCTTCAAATGATTTAATCTTTCTTTTAAAGTAAAATATTTTTTTTCACATCTCATATTACTGAGAGATAAGATCTAGAAATATGTACTAGTGTATTCATAGTATGAAGATGAAACGCTATCCCTGGGTTCTGAAAACTGACTTGAAACTGAATCATATTTATTAACTTTTATCTTAATACACATTTTACACTTAGAGAAACATAAAAAAGACTATCTTTTTAAAATTGTACTGATGATTTATTCAACGTATTTACCATGTAAAGGTTTATGTATTTATCTAGTAATATTAACCGTTTACTCAAAATGAGCCTACGACCCAAAGGCCGAAAGCTGAATAACTTAAACAATGAACCACCACTCTATACTGGTGATATCAAGCATCATTATTAGCATATTGAATTGAAAGATTCACTACTTCTGTTATAAATAATAGAACTTATATTTGAACCGAAAATCAGATTTTAAGAAGTATTAGCAATAACAAAGAGAGTTTGAAAATGGTAGTTAGACTGAGGAAATTTCAACTTCGATAATCATTAGTTCAACGCATAAATTACCCAGCAGTGCGCATCCACGATCCCGACTGACGAGATTCGAACCCAAAACCTATCAGTCTCGCGCGCAAACACTCAACCTCTAGACCACTAAGTCGGTATTCAACGGTGTTAATGTCTAACTTCAACCAATCCACGCCACCGTCCATCATTGTCATCAGTGAGTTAATATCTCGTGGATCTGCACTGCTGAGGAGTCCCATACTAGGATGAAACGGCTGTCTAGTGCTCCCAGGTTTGCCATGGTGGTCTAGCCTCAGTTAACTCATGGACTATTAAAATTACGCTAATATTCACAAAACCCCTCTCTGACTATAAATTACTGTTATCATGTTTTAAATACATTTAATTGAGTAATAGACATTATCAGACAGGTTAAAAATTTGTAGGTCAAACTCTAATAGATTTGTGTGTTTGTGTATAATACTGATATCCATTAGACTGTACACATTCACTTGAACATACCTGAACATATTTACAATCGTTTAGTAATGAAAAATACAAAAATAATGATTATATTAAAATGGAAGAATGTTAAATTTGTAATTGGTCTTTCAGTTTATGTTAAGTGTTATATAATAAATTTGAGAACAGTTTCACTTATTTGAAATTTACATTTTAGAAGCTACTAAGAAAGTATTAGGTTTTCAATGTGAACTTAATTTCATGCAAATATGAAAAGTTGACCATTTGGGTAACAAGCTATTTACAGTAAGATGATAAAAGATTCTTCAACTATACTAACGGGACTGTTTTATAGTTTAAAAATGGTTTTCATCACAGACTGAGTGATTTCGGCTAGATAATAATTAAGAACTAGAAAGTGTTGGATAGTTATTTTGTTAGCACATGAATCTTCTTGTCAATAGTGCACACCAACTACACCACAATTAATTAAACTGAAGATATTTAGGCATTGCTAGGAGAGTGTGTCAACTTCAGATCAGTTAGCTGTTACTTAGCAGTTAATACCTTTTATTCCTGTGAGTTCAAAATGTTGAGCGACTAGTGACACTAAAGATATATGTCTGAAACTAGAAAAATTTGATAGAAAATATAATTATTATTATTATTATTCATATTACCCAATATAGAGCAATTATGATATAGAAATCAACACAGATAATACAGACTAATTGTTCTTTTTTAACTAGTACGTTAACAAACCTAAATCATGAATAATTTTTAGTGGGGAAAATTAAGGATCAGTATGGGGATTCGTGCAGTTGATTGTTGCTGAGATTACGAACTGACTTGAATTTGACAACCAGTTAGAACCAGAAAGTAGTGGATTACTATTTTGTCCCATAATGAGACTCCGTATTCATTCATTTATACAGTGTATTCAATTAAGCACATACAATATTAAGGAATATTTAAACTGCAATACAACAACAGTTTCACATTCTTTGATTACAAAATGGACTGTGTTTTCAGTCAGTTAGTCAGCTACAACGTGGGACCGGGCACATATATGCATCTGTCCAAGTTTCCATAACTCATTAGCACAATAATATGAATACCGAATTCCTAGTCATTACTTCAATCCTAATAATATATAAAAGAAAGGTTGTGTGTAAGAATATAGTACAGAAAGAAAGATATAAAGAAATTTTAATCTCATAATTTAAAGGAAGACAGAGAGTGTATAAACCTACGTCACTGTGATCGATTCTCAGTCATGTCACACAGAGTCTTCAAACATTGGCGACGATAGTCACGCGGAGACCAACTAAGTGGTCTGCATCTACCAACATGTCTCAGGTCAGAAGTTAAGCACTTCAAACACCGATGCCACGTTTTGGTTTGGCCGCCCCTAACTTTCTTACAACCGTCTCCAACACTAGTCAGCATTGCGAGTCGTGGTAATCGGTATTCAGGCATACGCAACACGTGACCCAACCATCTCAGTCGATGAAGATTCACGACCTGACCAACTGATTTATCGTCATTTCGTAGTACCCTGCGTCTAACCTCACTATTACTGTGCTTTAAGTAAGTAAGGAGTAATCAATATACTGAATATTTTTTTACAATCTTCAATGTCTTTTTTAGTCAAATTCACTTTATCAAGTTAAAAGAAATGACTGATTTTCATAAAGAAATTTCAAAACCATAAAGACATATTGTCATGTATGTTTCTGTTTGTTTTATCTTTATGATTATTTTTGGTAAAATATTAATTATCAAATAAATTTATCAGGTGTAATTAGTTGTTCCGCAATAAATAAATACGACCCTTCAAACGCAAATACAATAAAATGTATGCTTTACAGATGCATCATCAATGTTAATTTTTAAGAATGTGAAAAAAAAAACGTGAATCCCGAAAAACCAGATAATAACATTCACTTCAAATAAACAAAATAACGACGAGAAGAAAAAGGATTTATTTATTGATTGATACCGTTAATGATGGTGATGACAATGACAAGACTAATGATAATAACAGAAGAAATAGCAACTACCCAAGTTCATTATGCTTTATGGATGAAAGTATAGAAATTAAACATGTTGAAACAAGCAAAACCAATTTGTCATAACACTCACTTGTCACCACACACACAACATATATATATATATAAGTAAACAAGCATAATGATACTAATAAATTTATCATGTTTTAGTCCGAACACAGTATATATATATATATATATATATATATATATATATATATATAACAGGTTTGGCCAATATACTTAACGTTGTTTAACATTTTATTGGGTTTATTAAGTTGTTTACAAGTGAAAAGATGAGTAGATAAATAGGTAGGTGGATTGATTAAATACAAGATAGTAAATAAATAAATAAACAGATAAATAAATAGCTGAATATACATATACTAACCATTTATATCTATTTGGTAAAGAGAGACCATTCATTATGTATGATTTATTATTATTGTTATTCTAGTCTTAGCAAGCAGTAGTAACAACCATGGAGAAATAATAATAACAATAAACCTGTTTTCTACTACATATATGCATATACAGATACACATACATACATACGCTAGAGATAACAACAAGAGATGTAAAATAATTAAGAAAAGAACAAACACAATATTCTAATTAGAAAATAATATATTTACTGAAATTAAAATAGTAAATAGCGTAGTTGCCACTGTTTTTATATAGTAGACGATTGACGGGAATACAAGTAGAAAG